TTGAAACTTTAATATTTATGCCAGAAATTTGAACCACAAAATAATGTTTCAGTGTTCTACTCATCCCATAACTCAGGAGTGGCATTTTATTAAAGATTATTCTATTGGTCTTTAATTTCTAAGCAAGTGATCAAACCAGAGAGAATATGAATGAAACAGATACTTATTGAAGCCTTCTAATAGAAACCTCTTACTTCATTATGAAAGTTTTAGTACTAGAAGAAATAAAACTTTAGAAATTCAAGTTGCCAAAAAAACCCTTAAAATATAAAGTTTGCTTCATTATAGCTATTTGATAAGTATGAGTTAATAATATCCTTTTAAGCTGTAAAGAGTTGAGACATTCAAAAAATAAGCTGATTAAATCTACATCAAGCATGGCTGCCATCTTGTGGGGACAGGATATAATGTATTGAGGGGCCAATCTCAATAACATGTCCCTTCTGGGTTACAAGTCATCATTTGTTCTCCATCAACCAGTGTTTGGTGCTTGTTAACATTTCTCTTGAAACGCCACGTCAACATTTCAACAGAAAAGATAAGGCAACTAAAAGAATTATTAATGTACATGAATCCCTGTTTCTAAAAGTTCAGTATCATTGCTAATGTATAGACCATAAGAAAACATTAAAAGTAGAAGTTTTTCACTTGAACCAACCTTAATAATAGATGTTTGTAAAGCACTCATATTTATTAATCATTCAAATTGCAAAATTTGGTTAGAATTTGTATCTCATTGAGTTAGAAGATAATAAGACGTTGTCCTGAAAGGGGCTATAGATTTACAGCTTTGTAGATTTATAGAAAGCCTTGTAAAGAAGTGATTACAAGTTTATTTTAGAAGGAAGGAAAGTTGGGGGCAAGGGAAGGGAAGGGAAAGAGATGGAAGGGAAAGGAAGGAAACAGAGGCAGGAAGAGAGAAGGGAGGGAGATACAAGCTATCACTGAGGATAAGATTTCCACTAGTGTCACAGACAAAATAGTTTGACAGAGTGGTAAGTGGTAAGTCAGTATGAAGCTGACCTGAAAAAAATGAGGTCAAGATATGCCTAGTGTAAATATGTTATATAGGAATATGTAATTTAAGTATTTTTTCAAAGCTTATTTAAAAGTTAAAAAAAATATGCTTTCTAAGTTTAAGGCTTCCAACAAAATTAGTAAAACTTACAGAACTCGATTTTCCTATTGTTGTCCAGAAAAACAAGACACTGAATGAGAAAGCCCCTGAAGCCTCAATGAGCTCTGAACGTCTTGTTGTGCCAAGTACAAAAGTTGTTCTTTCAGTCCTTCAACCAAAAGGAATTTATGTTTTTCATATCTGCAAATAAATATCCCAATTACAATTTTACAGCCACTTACTACAACTATTTGTATCTATAGATGGTCAGTCTTTGCCCTTTTACAGTTTTCCTTTCATGTTCATATTAAGGTTGAAATGTACCTGGAATCTTTTTTCTGACTAGCCATATTTATAATATTAATAATATAATGATAAAGAATTAGAAATAATGATCAAATTTTATTATGTCCCATTTTGATTATATTCTTTTAAAAACAACTCTTTAAGTTTCAAGTAAGTTGACTCATAAATGTATATATTTTTTATACTAAAATAAAACTTGAGTCATTAAAATGTTATTTAACAGTGTCTTAAAATTGACCAATGTAAGTTGACTTACTGCTATTATAACAATAAGTAGCTGATTTTAAAAATTTAAGCATTGGTATTCTTAGCATTTTAACAGTGAAAATGAAAGAATTATATGTTCCAAGAGTTTCTATTCTATTACCTTGCTTTCTTTCCACAATTGTACAAGATTGAGGGAGTCAGCATTTGTAGTTCCCTCACCAGTGCAAATCAGTGTTTCTCCAAAGTCTGTTTTTCAAAAAAAAAAAAAAAAAAAAAAAAAAAAAAAAAAAAGATGTATTCGTTTAAAGCTTGAGGCAGTTCAGGTTATCTATTATTTCTTCAAATAATTGACGTTCATATCACAACCAATGCCTGAATGAAGTAACAATCTCCACCTTGGAAGAAAAAACCCACCACATAAATTATTTGTTATAAGGATTAACTGTTTAAAAGTTTAACTGATTAACTTTTAAACAGTTAGTCATTTGTTATAAAACTTCAGTTAATGAGTGCTATATGCCAGAATTTCACAAGGTTTGAATTTAAGCACAGTGGGCCAGATACAATCACCATTTCCATATAATAAGGCTTGAATTAGAGTTAGGCAATCTTAATGAAACCAACAGATAGCTGTCATTAAAACATTTAATATGCACAACCAGTGAATTCATATTTTATCTTCTGGAATTTAATATCTAACTCACACATGATAAATATTTGTATCCCTAACTAAATATACATAATGACAGAAAATTTTGTAAAATAGTAGAAGATATAATTAATGTATGTTTATTAAGTAGGAGTCATTGAATGTAGAAATTATTCCAATAGTAAAAAGACTGTTATTCTTGAAAAATTCAACAGTTAAGGTTAAAGTTAAATTTATACTAACTTTCTTGTGTAACTTTTGGAAAGCTAAAACTCATAGTTCCATTTTATCTTCTGATTGGCAGGAGTGGTTATTATACCTCAAAACTTTTGTGATGTGTCACCCAGACTTATTTAAATGTCTGAGTATTAGAACAGTGATTCTTAAGGATGGCTACATAGCAGAGCCACTATAGAGGCTTTAGAATATATTACAGGCTATGCCCTAAACTGCAGAGATCCTGATTAAATTTGCCTTAAGTGATCATTTTAAAAAGCTTCCCAGATTATTTCAAAGGGAATATACATTTGAAAACTACTAAATTGGAGGATTTTGGAATAATGAAAATGCTTTGCTCACAATACATTAAAACAAATTTCCAAGAGAGGAAACAGTATGAATATGACTATACAATATTTGACTGTTTCCAGGACAGACATTCATTAAGTCAGGACTGGACTAGTTAATGCTCTCAAGTTCTTCCCAGTTCTCATATCCTAAGATATCATGGTGGTGTTCTTTTCAGGTTAAATGGTTATATCGTATTTTTTTTGATAGAATACACTGTGACCTTTTAATTTTTAGAATATCACTGTAAATAACATTTGAATCAAGCTATGGGGGAGTGCATCACTTTTTCAATTCATTATCTGTATCAGCAAAGTATAATCTATGGAATTGCATCAGAACTCTTTATAAAAAAGTAAAATGACATTAACACCAACATTAATATAATCAATATTGAGTCAATGTCTACTAATGGAAACAAGAGACAAAAGAATGATAAAAATTGACAGTAATTAATCAGTGAATGTGTCTTGGAAGCACTGGTTTGTTCCAGATTCAGGAGGAAGTGATGAAATTCAAGTCAACAAAGGGGTTCTCTGTAAAATGCTGTGTTGAATAAAATGTGAATAAGCTTTGGTGTTCACTCTCAAGGCATTTATAATCTAATTTAGAAGTCATCCTGTCTAACTCTAATACAAGGTACAGTGTGTTATGGGAGCATAGAAGATAGATGGATTTATTCCGTATTAAAGGAATGGACACCACTTCATGGGCAAAGGAATTTGAACTAGCCCTTGAGATGGTGAAGGGAGAGTGACTGGGAGGACAAATACGTGTTTTCCAAGCAGAAATATTGACATAAGTAAAAATATGGCAGCAAAGCATTTTCTGGAATGTTCAGGAAAATATGTACAAGATGAATGAAAACAGTCAGAAGAGAGATTGTACAATTGTGTCTGGAAAAATAGTAACCCAATTCAGCAGGCTAGAGAGAAGGGCTCAAGGGAAGGAATTAGAAGAAAAGAGGTTTGCCAAACTTGGAGGCAAGGCTCTGAAAGGTTATGTGATGAGTTTGACATCCGCACATCCAACATTCCCAAAGAATACCAATTATAATTGAAACAATATTATGACATTAATACCTGACTTCAACTAGTCACTTGATTGTGTTAACAAATCTCCAGTTTGCAATGAGGCCAGATTGATATAAGTCAATCATTATAAGAAAAGAAGTCACAATGATCAGGATTTTATCTTAAGGAATAAGCTTGCAGAAAATCCTTTCTCTGGAGACTGGAAGGCTGTCATTCAGGACTTCCTCAGCTTTTTCCATGGGAGAGAGATTAACCAACTTCCTTATTTTGAATTTATCTGCATAGGTTATCAAGCTATTCAATGAAATATTTTGACCAAACGTTTCACTGAAACATTTTTCTGTTTTATTTAATTATTATTATTATTATTTAAAATTTCAAGATCTTCTGTAACCTGATAGAGAAGAATTTCTATCAATAGAAAGGATTTCAGGAACCTTTCTGTATCCCGATTGCCTAAAAAATACACTGGAGACAGAAAAACAAAATCATTGTATAAAAGGTAATTAGCACGTTCTCTCCTTTTTATAACTTTATAATTGAAATCTCATTAAAAGCTTTCTAGGTCTTTATCTCCCTAAGTGACCAGGTGTCCCTAATTTGTTTTCAACCAATGTGACTAATTCCAGGCAAAGACTAGAAAAAGTCTGATACCTGTTAGAGAATAGCAAGGTTAAATAAGTGGGGTGGCTTTTTTAGGTTGCATTTAACCTCGTAAAAGAAAAAAAAAAAAAAAAAGCTTCCATGTCTTTTCTCTTACAGTCCTGCCTTTTCTCAGTCCCGGTTGAAGATTCCATGGGAAACGAGAGCACTATTTTGTTTCTCCCTTGTATTGCAGATAGGGGGAGGAGGTGGTTATTAGAGAGAAGCTCTTCCTCTCTCGGTTTCCCCCTCTCTCCGCCTGACAGCACCGCTCTCTCGCGGGCTCGCTCCTTCTCCTAGGTGATCCATTTCTAGGCAACGTGGGGCTGGTGCTGAGGCTGCCAGGCTCGCGCCTCGCTTCCTGCATCCCGCCAGGCGAACCGCTCCAAACGCATCCTGCAGCCCGCGGCGGCTTCCCTGCTCCGGCCCGGCCCCGCTGCTCGCGCCCGGCGTCACTCCCCCGCCACCGCGCCCCAGCAAACCGGCTCCCCGGGCCCGCCGCGCCGAGCCGAGCTGCGTTCCGCGCCTCGCGCAGAAAGGGATTTTTTTTTTTTTCCTGCATGACTATCCGCATTACCTTGAAGTTCACTTTTTCTACCCCTGTTGGAGAGGGCTTTCCACCCCTCCCTGGTGGAATCTGGCTGCTCCGCTTGGAATCTCCTCATCTTTCCTCTCCACTTAGATTTTGGCAGCGAAGACGAGTGATTCTCTGCGGGCTGTTGGGGCGGGGGTCCTTTTTGGTCGGGGGGTTGTAGAGCAGGGGGCACATCCGGCGTGAGGGAGCGTTGGAAGTTACGGCGGAGCTGGGACCGGAGACCCGCGGCCCCCGCGCGGCCATGGGGAAGATCTGAGCTCCAGCCTCTCCCCCCTGCCCGAGAGCAGTCGAGGCTGGAGATATTTTTCAAAAGCCAAACTGCAAACAACTCTGGCGATGCCAGAATTCCCCTCCAAGTGACACGGCTAGGCGAAGGAGGTTTCCTCAGGCTGGGCTGTTTCTGTCATTCCCTCTGCCTTTCTCGGCGACGATAAAAGGCTTTGCTCTGGCATTAGAAATTTAGGAAAAAAAAGAGAAAAAGCTGCGCTAAACTCTACTGTGACCTCAAACTCTTTGGACTGTCAAAAAAAAAAAAAAAAAATTGAAAGAAAATCATCCTCCAAGAGAATCGGCATAGGAGGAGATGGAAGTTTTCCCCTTGCTCTTGGTTTTGTCCGTCTGGTGGTCTCGAACCTGGGACTCGGCAAATGCGGATTCGATCATTCACATCGGTAAGAAAGGGCTGGTGCAGCTCGTGGTTACTTTTCCCGTTTCCGTTCGCGAAGCTTTCCCCTTTGCTTCCCCCCTCTCCGCCCTCTGTGTGTCTCGGAGGTGGCTTCAGTTCGCTGCCCCTTCTCGCTACCCTTCCCTCACACTTGCTCAGTTTTTTGGAAGGATGTGGATGCTTGAACCTCGACTTGGGCTGTTGTTTCGCGGCGAATCGTGGAATGTGGCTGGATGCTTGGGGGTCTCGAGTTGCCTTGAGTGTGTGTGTGTGCTGGGAAGTGCAGAGGGATTCTAAGTGTGTGAGGAAAGGGAGTTTAATTGACTCTTCTCTTCCATATTTTTTTCCCGGATGTACATTTGCTCCATTGGAACAATTATCTTTGGGTAGCAGAGATGTCACCTGTGAGATGAAAAGAACTGGGCTGGGTTGGGGGGTAGGCAGGGGGAGCTCCCTTCGGATCGAACAGGTGGTTTTGCAACGTGAGCCTGCTGAGTTCGCCGCAGCGTGGTGAGATGGTGCCGGGGTGCCGGGTGTGCCCCCAGCCTCCCTTTCCTCTCACGTCCTCTTGGCTTTATGGTCCTCGCGTGGAGTCTCTGAGACGGTGGCGGGAGGGGCTGGCGGCAGTGTCGCCAAGGACTGGGAGTCGCGTGCCTCGCCTCCTCGGACACGCTCCCCGGGCCTGGCGCGGAGGCGAAACTGGCCCCGGGCGCCTGGGAAAGGCGGGGAAGCGAGAGCGCGCAGACCGCTCCCGGGGGCTGCCTCGCAGATATCCGCCTCGCCTAGCGGCGCCTTGCCGTCAACTCCGAGTAGCAGCGCAAGGCAGGCAGCTAAGGCGACGGGACGACGGCGGGCCCCGCTCTGAGAAAGACTGCCGAGCCGGCTCCGAGATGCTCTTGGCCCCACCTATTGGCAACCAGACCGGCCGGGACTGGCCGCGGCGGACTGGCGGACGCGCAGGCGGGCGGGGGGCTGCGCGTCATTATCATGCATAGCGCTCTCAGCTTCAGGCTTCAACTCTTCTCACTTGCTAATCCGTGAGAGCTGAGCGGAGACAGGCTCTTGCAGCCTTTTCTGCGTTAATGCGACGATTTCTTTTTCGGAAATTCGCCAGCAAGGTTTCTTTGCTGGGCTGCAGAGAGGTCCCTTTGGGGGAATTTTTCTGGGCACAGGACTTTTATCTGTACGCATGGCTTGGTGTTCTGCAAATTGAGGCGACAGATGGGTCACAGCTTCTCCCCTTTCTGTACCCCGGCTTCACCACCGCGCAACACACACATAGACACACATGTATTCCTGGTAGGCGAACCTGCTGCAGGTGGCAGTTGTGCCCGCCCAAGCGAGGGATTTCTGCCCGACGTGCGCGCCCACAGTGGCCAGCCCCTCAGCTCCAGGGGGCTTCCTCTCTTGGTCTCAGAGGCCGTCTTTGTAAACATGTCTGCCATTCTCTATCATTTATATCAGTAGAACTGTCTGTCTCTGTGCAAGGGGTAATGAGGTCAGGATACAGAAAACCTAGCACTTGTGAATTAAGTAAATCAAGCACTAATAGCTTGCCTACTGGATCCCGTTTTGCCTGGGGGCTACCAGTGCCTGCAGATTCAGAACTTTTCAGCGAGAAATTATGGTCTCATTGAGTGGTTCAGCAATGTTCTGATAGAGTTCAGAAATGAACTATACTCCTTTTAAAGAAATAGCATACATTTATGTCCTATTGTAAATGATTGGAGAAGGAATGCAGATATACAATCATAATAGTTTTATATTCATTTTTTGATTAAGGGTTTCTGATGTAGGCTCCTTATCTCTGAGAAGAAAAAGCTTGTGGAAAAGGCTTATTTTATTGCATATTCTGTAGTCTGCACGATAAAGACATTATTTACAAATACCTACAGCTTCTGCTATCCTTACGAATAAATACTATTTTGCAATGCAGTCTGGACATGTGTTTCAAAATAGAACAAAACTGTTTTGTTTTTTTTTTTTTTTGTTTTTTGTTTTTTTTTTTAGTTGCATACTGTTTTTGTCAGAGCGACTTGGCTTACTTATTTATAAACACCATTTAAAAAAAATGAATACAAATTACAAATTTCTTTAGAAGGTTGGTCGTATATATTAACTGTGTACAGCAGATGTATATATTAACTGTGTACAGCAGATACAGTTACTTTTGACCAATTAATTTGACTCGAATGCAATTAGTACATTTGATGAGAGAATTAGCTGCTTTATAGGCTACCTAATATTGTCTTGAAGCTAGCAAACTATCTTTTGTAATATATTGGAAAACATTAACTCCTAAATTAAAAAAAATAATGACCATGGATAGTATGTGTGTAATTCAGTGCCTCCATCCCCACTCTCAGCAAAAGTATAATAAATTCAAAACCGAATATCCATATTAAAATGGTAAAGCACCAGTTAACATAAATTGGATTAGTTTACTTACTTGGTTGAATAGGAAAAAAATTAATTTTCTTTAGGAAGTGATTGCTTTCATTTAAATATTTAATGTAAGAAATATGCTTATGGGGAAATGTATTAGTTCAGGACTAAAGGAATGAAAGTGATGAAACTGGAGGGAAAGGGAGTATTTCACCTCCGGAGATAGAAGGAGATATCCATAAATGAAAGGTTTTCCTAACCTCATGTAATGTGTTCAAGCAGAAAGGAGCTGCAATATATAGTTCAGTCAAAGTGGAAAGATAAAAAGATAAGAGGTTTTTTAATATATTGAATTATTTTGGTATTGAAGCAAATTGTATATATATGAAAATTATCTCCTTTCTCTTTCTTTTCATTTTTTACCTCATGTGGGTAATGATTGAAATTAAAATGTATTTATTTCAGTCAAAAATGTGCAACTTTATAATTATTTCAGTATCAAATCATATTTTAAAAATGTTTAATTATTACATATATTTGTTTAAAACATATCCAGACACATATACACAAATATATAGTATTTAAAAATGAATTACTCGGATTGTGATCTTCTTTGGCCCAATAAAAGAAAGGTCTTTTGACATATAAAAACTATGCAATTTTGAATTATGCTTCTACTTTGAGCCTATGCATTGATTGAGTAATTTCATCAGACCCACATTACTTGATTGCTTAGAAGTTTCCTAATGATCTGCATGTTGTAGGAAGAATCAAAAAGTCGTGAGTGGAATGGCAATGATACTGTGTTTTATGAGGCTATTCAGAAGTTGCTCTGATTTATGTAGCTAGAAAGCTCCAAAGTCTTTGAGATTAGCCACGCTGACTGCTATTTTCTTCATACATCAGTCGTCCCACACTGTTTACTCCCTAAACACAACAGGCGTTTAGAGCACTGCTTTAATTAAGCAGGGATTAGGTGGCATTTCCAGTGAACTGCACAGTTTGTGTTTTGCTTCATATCAACTATGGATGATCTCATGTTTTAACATTTTAATATATGCTCCTTTCTTTATCTGGTTCCTGTGCTCACAGAACTGATTGTAAATTAGCTATCCTCAGTTATATATCTCCACAAGGGAACACTCAAATAGTGTACTTATTCACATATTACACAGATCACTAGCATATTTTTGTTGAGATCAGTCATAGTAAAATAATTTCTACATGGAGAAGGAAAGATACATTTATTCTTGTTTTTCTTGTCAACAAATGATACTTTATCCTCTGAAATAATAATCAACTGTGATATTGTATTTGAGAAACTTAAGTCAATCCATAGAATACTTTCATTACGAGAATGTTCAAATTGAAGTATAAAATCAGGTAAATAAAATGTGTCAACACATTAAAAACAATAACAGATTGTGAATGTAAAATATCAGTTGTTCTTACTTCTGCAGTAAAGATTATTTTGTCAATTACAGAATGTAAAGGTATTCCCAGAAGATGTGGTGTTCTACCAATTTTTTTTTTTTCCAGTTGGCTACACTATTTGCATTGGTTAATGATAACCCCCAGGACTCCTCAAGGACTTTTTGCCTTGTGTAAGATATTGCAATACTATTTTATCCTTCTTCTTCCCATAGTTGCTGTTTGTTCTTGAAGTTCTTGGTATCTGTGTAAACTTCTAGAAAGTACTAAGGGACTTGGCTTTACTATTATTCTTCTCTGTATCATTAATACAGTTATTTGAAGCTCAATTCAAATGTGTATTAAGTTAGACAATGTTGTTATTAATGAAAGATATCAACTTTGACATGACTAATAAGCTATTACACTAAGGACCTTTGCTTTCTGCTCCAGGTGAAATGTACATCCACTAAATATGTTATAAGTTTTAAGCCAAATATGAATACAAATCAAGGTGATTAACTTTTGATTTATTCAAAAATAAAAACCAGTTGAAATTATTAGGATAAATGGAAGATACATTTTATTCTATTCTGATAGCTCAGGCTAATTTTATCATATGATAATATTACGTTGATGGGCCATTGCAATTTTAAAACCACATGTTTTATTCTAGAAGGTTTTTTTTTTCTTCACTTATGTATATTACTTTATTTTTAAAAAGTACGATATTCACATTTCTACTGGATTATCATGATATTTTAGATTGTAGATAGCATATTGGTGAGTTGCAACACATAAAAAGGATTACTACAGTATAATGTTTATTAGAAAATACATTTATGGCCTATAAAGATATCTTTGCCATTAGGTGTCACTGCATTCTGAGCTGTTACTGTTATTTTTTAAAATTTTTTTGTAGTACTACTTAAAAACCATATGAAATATTTTTTAAATTCTCAGAAAAAAGTAATTTGTGATGCTGTAAGGTATAGATAGTTTTTATTTTCAAGCTAGAAAAATAAAATATTATCCCTGTCTCTTATTCTTGTAAGAATTTAATGCTAGGACATATCAACACACCTGATACCCTCTAAAAAAATTAGATTTCTAGACCTAGTAATGCAATTGTTTTCTCAGATTTAAAATACAAGAGAAATATCTTCTTAAACTACTACTTATTCTCTATGAATAAAATCTAAGACATTAGGA